CCAAATGTAACTTCCCAAGTTGGACAAAAAAAAAAAAAAAAAAAAAAGGACCACCATCGCATACACGCTCTTTAATGAAAATAGGGGCAATGTCGAAAGGGGTTAACTTAACACATGGCTTGCCACCTGCACATGTAAATGGGGTGGCATATACATTGCTCGCATTTGTGTGCTTCCATTGCGTAGTAGGATGCGTCCTCACGTGTGGATTCGTTACCAAATTTGTCCGTTACTTTCAATATTCAAATCGATGTTAAGAAAAATTTGACGAAACATATCATAATTGATGTATAAATTATCGACATTTATGGAATGAAATTTAAATTTTTCCTTGCGCTTGTCAATATGATCACAAAAATAAATTTCATTTTTTATATTTTTCTGAAAATAATTGTTATTGGTAAAGTAAAGGAACATGTAAAAAATGTCTTCCACACTAACTTGGATTTTGAAATGATAAAGTGCCTTTCGTACTTTCTGTACATTAATAAAATTGTTCAAATTTTTATTATAGTAAATAATTTCCTCCGTATGATCTGTTTTACGTAGGGTTTGTTTTTTTTCCATTTTTTGTTTCATGTCTACTTTGGCAAATTCTTCTTCACTCACTATGTCATCAATATGGATTATGTAATTCCATATGTAACTAATTTTTTCTTCTATGAGTTTGTTGATTTCCTCGTCGTTATGTTTTTCGTAAATTGTCTTTACCTTTCCTCCCCTTCTCCGCAGTGACCTCTCCAGGTCCTGTACCTTCGACGCGGTTTTGTGCCGCTTCATTGGGTTCGACCAGTGTGGCGGCACAGCAGCGAAACGTGGTGTGCCTACACCAGTGCCTCAGTACTGTGAGCTACGTTAGGCACCCCTCTGATGTAAATGTAACATACGGTTAGCCACTTCTCATTTGGCGTCTTCACCAAGTTGGGATTTGTTGTTCGTAAAAAAGAAAAAAAAAGTCCAATGGGATGGCCTACCCTATTTGCTATTTAAATTGGATTAGGTCTTTGCCTTCAGAAATGTTTACGAAAAAGTCAAAGCTACGCTAAGTGACCCCAATGGAGTAACCCCCTCTCCCCACCTTTCACCATCCGAATTTATCGCCTTATAACAAAATCGGTACTCGAAAACCCCTCGAGCGTCTTCTCATTCGTTATTAAACATTCGTCAATTCTGGACGATGGGCTACCGATATTTTTGAGGAAATTCTTAAACTGCTCCAGGGATTCTTTCTTATCACTTTCTGCTTTTCCTACCACTGTGTTCCTTTCTGTGTTCATGACATGACCCTTTATGTTTAGCTTGTCTGCTTCCAGCTTTGTGTACTTCCGGAAGAAAACTCCTAAGAAAGGGTGGCCGAGGGAAGTGAAGATAGCACTTGTGATGTACTCATATGTGAGCGGGACACAATACTGTCATGTGTGCCGCCTCACCCCAGAAATGGGAAAACGCACAAGACCCGTTCTCTCGTCTCCCTTAAAATTCAACTTCAAAAAAATGGACCCTCGTCACAGTGTGCAGCAAACGAAAGGGAAGCGTGAGGGGAGAAAAAAAATAATGAATGAACAGAAGTACAAAAAAATGGAGTACACATCTCTGCATTAAGGGCTACATGGGTCATCAATCCCTCTGCTCAGGCACAAATACTCCCATTTGCAGGTCTCCTTTTTTTTATTTTTCAACCCACAGCCCCTCTGGCGTACCTTGGACTTTTCCAAAAACTTCAAAATCGAAGGTGTGTATCATTTTACTCGAGTTGCAGAATTTTCTCAAAAGATGATTTGCGCGGGATGAACTTTTCGTCGACGGGAATAAGAAGAAGGAATGGACGACGGTCATCAGCCGCATTATTTGCCAGCTCGGTTGGCTCAACAGCACGCATAGCACAAATGTAAAAGCAGATAAAATAGTACCAAGCGGGAAGGGCTACAAAACAAAAGGCGTTTCCTTCCTATGTCACATAAACTTATGCCTTAAACGATTTGTACTCCCTTAAACTTAACCCTCTTTTTATTTTTTTTTTTTTAACACAGCTCATAAAATAACTGGCGTAGAAGGCAAACTCACCCATGTGCACCTTTTTACTATTCGTCAAAGAGGAGGGGAAACAAAAAAAAAAAAAACTGATACATGTATTTCAAAACGTATTAAAATATTTGACCTCTCTTAATTCTTCCCCCCAATTGGGCAATACTAACGTGCCGTACATTTTGCTTTACCCGAGGAGGTGGTAACAACAAGATGCTGTAATTATCAGCTAGCTGCAGGGGACACACAGTGCGTATCTTTTCGTCGTAAGACTGCGCAACACATTTTGCATTGACTCATATCACACTTGACATGTAATTAAAAAGGAGGAAAGACGAAATTTGCTTTTTTTTTTGTGTCGTCCAAACTGAGGCACACACGGCAAATAAACCCAACGAACTGGGAGGGAAAATGTCAAGGGATTTCCACTTTGATGGTGAAACTGATCACTGACAGAGGGTAAACCCCATGCGAATGCTGTTGCGTTTGGGTTGAAGATAAACCCCCCCGTCCTGCGCAACATTTGCCTTATTTGCCATATGTACACATGGCCGAGCGCACTCTGCGCAACTTTTCTGTACACAAAAATTCAAAACACCAAGGTTCGTGTGTTAATCCCAACACAGAGGTCAATTTCCTTTTCTTGTCTGCTCTATGATGTTATTAAGCAAATATGCACGACATCCAGGTACAGATCTACCACGTTCGAGAATTACAAATTTGCACAAAAAAAAAAAAAAAAAAAAAAAAAAAAATGTACATCGCTAGGTCGGTTAAAGTCAGGCAACCTGTAGCGCTTCGTCCATTTGGGAAATCCCCGTGTGTAACTGTTGGTACATTTAAAAAAAAAAAAAAAAAAAAAAAAATGACCAAAGAGGACAATCGAAACTTGAAGAAAGCATCTTTTTGTAAGAAGCTTGTGCGCACACGCCTACATGCCCAATTAAAATTTTCCAGTCGAGGGAAAAAGAACACAGACTAACTTTATCACTTGGTCTATTTCAACCATTCCTTTTTTGAAACCCCCCCATCTCTGTGTGCCTTCCTCCGTCACAAAAGTGCGCAATTGTGAATTAGCAAATGGAAAAAAAAAAAAAAAAAAAAAAAGCGTATAATAAGAATATATGTGTGTGCATATAGCTAAATATAAGTGTGAATACCGATCGATAGCTAGACGTGCAGACGGGTCGCTCGACAGGTGGACAACAAAACGAACCACATAAGCCGGAACCCTCTTCGTGCTGCGCTTGCCCCTCCTGTACATCTCTACACATGTAAAGTGAACCCTAAACCATTACGTCTTAAATAATGCTGTTCTCTATATCGTGCCTCTCACCTCTCGCCATATTGTCCTTCTTATTTACAACTTTTTTGCAGTACTGCATCCTGTTTGCATTTTTATTTTACCTCTTATATTTTTTTTCCCTCATCATGTTATGATATGGATTTAGCTACGCGGCTGCTTTCCGTTCGTGTAGCCTCTTTGTTCTCTCACGCTTGGGCCACACGGCCAGCTCTCACCACCTCAAGCCTTGTAAAGTAGACTTTATTACACTACCCCCTCCATAAGTGCATATTTTGAGGGACCATAAAAAGCCAACCCCATTATGCCATCCACAACAGGTTGACACTAGAATGGTGCTAGGTTTACTCTACAAAGCGTCCCTTTTTTCTCAATATTTTTTTTATATAATTTTTTTTTTTTTTTTTTAATGACCCATGTGGAGTGCCACCTTGGTCAGATACCCTACGACGCGAAAGTTAAATAACGGTGTTTTCACATCAAAAGGTAAGCACTAGTTGGACAAAGAACTTCTTTCCTACCCCCTCTCATACCTTCCACACGGTTTGCTGTTTATTCGTGTATACGCTCCACAGTAAATGTAGACAAAGGGTTGTAGGTTGCTTCGTTGACGGTTAACAACTAGCCAATTGAGATATCTTTAAGAGGAATCCCCATCCTGTGGAAGCAATGAAGGAGTAAATGTTTTCCCAAATCGCTACAATCAACAAACCTACCTGAGAACGCATAAAAGGAGTAACTGCCCTCCCCGATATGTCCCCATTACAACAAAAAATAAAGTAAAAATATACAATTTTTTATCGTTGAAAAATATTAATAAAAAAAAAAAAAAAATGTCTGATGGTGGCCTTAACAAGATTAGCATCCACATAGATGACGGGAGCGAATCGATACATCGCAACGAGCAAGACAGAGTAACTAAAACGAATTCGATTGGCAAAAAGGTGGAACATGAGAATCTCAAAGAAGAAACCTCACAGTATGGACGATGCTACAGGAATATGAGTAGCCATTTACCCCCTGAGTCGTTTTCTCGATTCGGGAGCATAAGTGGAACAAATGAGAATCTCTGCTGGAGTGGCGAAAGTGACAATGATGTTGATGAGGCTACCGACGGGGGAGACACTTCCCCAGATGCGATCTCTGTTGACGGCGCCACCGCTGATGATACTTCTGCTGGTGGTGCTTCCGCCGGAGCTGGTCGAACGGCCTACCCAAATGGCAATGACGCGGAGAACCTGCCCAGCCAACAGGCAAGCGAGAATTTAAAAACGCACAGTCTTGGACTAGGACTCCGAAATAGCAATAAAACGAACTGCCCCAAAAAGCAGATGAAAAACGTCATGGGCTATAACTACTTCACACTTAGACAAGAATTAATGAAAGCAGACGACTCGAAGATTTTTAAAAACATCCCTCTTAGTATATTCGTGGGGACGTGGAATTGTGAATACTTTGATTTCTCCAAGGAGTGCCACAACGACGAAAAGAAAGTGTACTCATCTAACTACCTGAGCGAAAACTGCAATGACGACATGTACTCTGTAAAGGTAAGCGATAGGTACTCTGTTAGATCTATGACCCCCTCCTTGAGAGTTAAACCGGTGAACAATTATAATAAAATAGGGGGATCTTCTACCGTGGGGACTTTTGCAACTGCTGATGACAGGAGTGTACACTACTCGTATGAAGGTGTCTTCGATGGACAGATAAGAACTCTGCAGGAAGGGGCAAAAAAAAATCAGAGCAGTCCTCCCCCCCTACGACCCATCCCATGTGACTACATCAAAGCGGGGAAAGTATTACCCATTAATCTCAACGAATTAGACAATATACAGCTCACACAAGGAGAAGATTCAACATGTGACATGTGTAATTGGGAAGAAGGCGCAAATTTTTCTAAATGTACAAGAACTACCAGCGAGTGCAACAATAAGCTGCGTAGATCCTTCTGCGGTGTGGGCATCACCAATGAGAGAATCAAATTCAAAAGTCAGTTACCACATGAAATCTCCAATAGAATCACATGGGTTAAGGGATTATCACGGTATGACATCCCCAAGGAAGGCTCTCGTTTTAATGAGTGCAAGCCTTATTGCATATCCCCCAACCGGAAAAAGGTAGTTAGCAAAACGCCAACCATGGGGATCCCAAGGAGTGTGCAGGGGGGCGATCCGCAAAGAGCACAAATGGATAAGGCAAAAAGAGCACATATATATAAACCTGGACGAGAGCAAATAGAAAAACTAAACCCTGTGGACCATAAAAAAGACACGGGGCGGAGTAGCCATAACCTGTCCCAACTAAGGGAAAATAATTCTAATCAGAGGCAGTCCAAATCGAGGGAGAAGCAAATATTCTCCACGTGGATTCAACCCCACTATGACATCTACATCATATGCCTACAGGAGTCCATATCTGATAATATCATCGAGTGTTTATCTCTGCACCTGAAGGAAATAAATCAAGAGACGTACAAATTTTTACCATTGGCTGATTGCAAGCTGTCTGGATATGGGGACGGAGCTTTTCTTCAAATGAAATCAACCACCATGGCTGCCTGGGTGAGGACATCAAAGTTGTACCCAAATGGCCCCGTAAAATTATGCGCTTCCAAATCTATAGCCTTTAACAAGTTAAATAATAGCAAAGGGTGCGTATCAATCCTTTTTAACATTTTTAATCAGTTCATTTTATTTATTGGTTGCCACATGCCAGCGAAAGATCAGGAGATAAGACAGAAATCTAGGGAATTCATTCTAACCAAACTGAGTGAATATTTCAGTAACAAAATTACCTCAAACTTCAAAGACGTTTTTCATCATGTCATTTGGATGGGAGACTTCAACTTTAGGGTTCAAGGGATACGCCTAGACAGAGCTGTACGTTGTTTGCAGACTAACAATTTGAAGGAGCTCCTAAAATATGATGAGGGCAATTCAGCTTACTCGTATGATTTGTCCATAAGCTTTCAGGAACTACCCATCAGCTTTCTTCCCACTTATAAGAAAAACGGCAACCGGCCCGTTATCAACAGGGATGACGCCAACTGGGTGCAGAAGGAGTACAAGCTCGTCCACAATATCAAGTGGTACAAGGGCGGCCGCCAGGAGTCGCGCATCCCTTCGGTAAGCCATCCGGCGTGGATCACATGGAGGCGAACCGACTACAAAATGTGTATTATCAGCACGCTTACGCTGTTATCACTTCATACATCTTTCTGCCTCCCCCCTGCAGTGGACAGATCGTATCTTCAAATGGTCGTGCGACAAAACCAGAAGCTGCCTCATCTTCGTGCCCAACTCGTACCTGTCGCCACTACCGGAGGAGCAAAGTAATGACCCAATTCGCTGCGAATCTGTCTGGCGCCACCCCCCTCTATTAAGGGTTACAACCATTTTTTAGTCTATTTTATAATTGCCACCGCGTTGCTTAACCCCCCTGTTTCTATTCCCCTTTCTCTGAAGGCATCCTCATGGCCAGCGACCACAGCCCCGTATCCTGCTGCTTCCAAATGTACATGATGAAAAACGAAAGGGAAATCCCCTTGACGAAGGTCACACTTGCCAAGTCGATCGAGGGTTCACTCGCGGATAATTCATAAAGGAAAGAACTGGGGGATTAATACGTACCCTGGGCAGTGTCCGGATGTGTCTCACGAACTTTTAGAGCCCAGCTGCTTTCGCCCACTGATGCACACCCCCCGCGAGATTAATCTAGAGACGGCAACGCCCCCGCATGTGGCGGTCAGCATACTATCATACCATCCGCACTGGCAAAGCAGGGGAACGTCTATTTTGAGAGAGCACCACTTCGCGGGGATAACCCAGGCCCCTCTGATCCTTTAAGCCAACTGAGAACTGCCATCCTGTATCAAGTCTCTTCCCCCAATGAGCAGGTACGAATTCGTGGTTTCCATGTTCGCAAAAAATTTAGCAGCGCGAAGTGGGGGGGAAGGGAAAACACGCATAAGAGTGGAATGCGACGCTACAACGAAAAGAGCTATGTCGTTTTCTCCTTCTACTTTCTTATTTCTCATTTCTCACTTCTGCCTTTTACGATCCAAATTTAACGAAAAATCAAAACTGTTAAAGTGGCACATCCCACGCGGGTGAATTAAAAAAAAAAAAAAAACACACACACACACGTGTAGCTACACTCGTATGTACACACACATATACATGTACGCCACTCACCCACACGAATTGACAAAGGGGCGATTTTCCAAATGGAACAAAACTGGCGCAACTCAAATTTTAAAGCTGGAAATGATGGGCGCTTTCAGCAATGTTGCACGGGCATCACATCAGAATACGCGGTCTTGGGTATTGACCATCGTTATGTATATCGCCTCCGGGGTACAAACAAAAAAAACGTGGATGCAGGTTTGGCTGCACATCTCCTGCGAGGGCTTATCAAAATGAATAAAGCTGCAATATTGTCCCCAAAACGACACAACGTAGCATAGCTTGCGTCTGTCTGTCGCTTTCCTGTTGACCAATTGTCCAATCAGGAAGTTGCATATATCACGAATGCAGCAACTGCTAATTATGCCATTGCTAAGAATTATTTTTTGTACTTGGTAAAAATTTTTTTCCTGTTTAATAAGCATATGTGCGTTTTCCTTGTGATTTATTTTTATATCCAGGAGGATTCTCCCAATATACTCCACTAGGTAGTTTGCAATTTCGTCCTGTCTGATCTTCGTATAGGAGGCAGCTTCGTGGGTATTCCCACTTGGGGCCCCCTTTGCAGTTCCATTTGCAATTCCGTTTGCAATCCATCTCGTTGCTTCCTCCTCCGGATCGCAGCTCATGATGTCGTACAGGCGCTCCCTTTGTAGTACCCTCTCGTTAACCCTATAATAGGCGTTCCTATGGTTTTTTAAAAAATCCAGCACTTTGTCGATCTTGCGCAGTTTTGCCTCTTCTACAACGGAGTGGTCATTTTGGCCACAGTTCATTTCCATATGCCCCTTCTCACTAAGCGTCTTTTTTTTCTTCTTTTCGTTTTCGCTTTGGATGCAATTTTGCGTGCCCCCCTCCTGTGTGTCGTGTTCTCTGTTCACAAATTTCTCCTCCCTGTTGTCATCCCCCTTTAAGTAATTTTTGAATATCCCTCCATCTGTAGAGCTATGTAACGTGCTTCCACCCGTCTGCCCTTTTGTCGCTGCACCATTGGCTGCGCCGCAGTTTATACGCAGCATGCCTGATAAACTCAGATCGCTACTGCTCTCCGAGTCATAATTAATGTAAAATGTTTTATCATGAATGGAGTATGTTTTTTTCTTTTTGCTGCCTTTACTTTTCGCTACCAGGTCGTACAAGTCCACCACGTCGCTCGGGTTTAGGGGCACACTACAGTGAGCGTCATTCTGCTGTTCGCCAAGCCCATTGTTCCCTTCGAGTGTGACTTTCCCATCCCTGGTGGGGCAGGAAAGGAACTCCCTTTCTATGTATCCTGCATTTAGTTCATAGAATGGGTGAACTGCCCCTATCTTCTCTCTCCCCTGTATATCCAAGTAATTGAATTGGTTTGTCATTCCTACCGGTTTGTTCCCCCCGTTCTGTCGACACTCACTGTTTGTCACATGGTTGGGATTCACCACCACGTCGAGACCACTGTCCTGTCCTCCATACATGTTATACATATTGACCAAACTGTTCACATGTGCCTCGTTCTCGTTTACGGAAGAGTTAGGAAAAATGCTGCTGTAAATATCTGCTACACTATTCATATTAAAGGCATGAGATAAGCTATCCATTTCGTTGTTGCAGACGTTAGAGTGCTTATCAACAGAGATCCAGTGGTTGGCACGTGGACCATCCCCCTTTGCTCTGTTAGAAGCTACGTTCCTCCCACCGGGATTGTAAAAGCATTCATGGCATTTAACTGGGACTGCATACACATCCGCATCCTTTGATCCGCTACGGGTTAATACATTTTTTAAGTCTTTACTAAATTTTTCGTGGTCCGTTCCATGGTTATATAATCCGACCAAATCCACTGGGTATGTGTACATGTCTGTAAAAAACTGTTGATATTTTTCCCTCAATTTGGAGTCTCCAGTGGTGGATTCGCCTCCAGGGAAAGGGCCACTTACCCCACCCCTGTTAGGAGTCTTCCCATTTTCTGTCTTTCCCTCGCCACAAATATCTAGCACCACCACATTACTCAATTTGAACCTATCCCGGTACACATTCCTATGCGAAGTCAATCTCAATTTGGTTAAATCATTAACACAAAGATATACAGAGCTGCCACTCATGTATATTTTGTTGTCGTATTTGCAGTTAAGGGAGATGACCCTTGGCTGGTACTCCTTAACAATATCATGCACATACTCACTTGAAAAAAAACTTGATAAATAAACATTTTTTAAAAAGAAACACATTTTATTTTTCCACACACTCTGGTGCATATATTCACAATTTATAACTTCTTCCGCATCATCAGCAAAATTTGTCACTACTACTTGGGTGTTTACTGCGTGACTGTTTATCAACTTCTCCAACTTATGGAGTCGTTTTTTTTTGCTTAAGAAATGCAAATAATCTATGTGCCTTGCATTTTCTCTACTAGCTTCTTTCAAATCTGCTATGTGTAGTTTTTCCACGCTGGTGTAGATGAGACCGTTGTTGTGGATCCCCTTTTCATTCCCATTGAAATACATTTTGCCTTCCCCCGGACAGCTAAGTAATTTTTCTCTCCGGGGTGTTCGTGTAACGGGGGGGAGATAAAGGTTTATGAGGCTACGATAAAATGCGCATCAGGCTGTCTCAACACAATTGCTTTTTTGCCTTAGCGTTTGCTTCATCATAGAGGGGATATATACATTTCGAGGGGATGAATATTTTAAAAAGGAAAGAAAAAGAGGCTTATCACAAGGGAGCTAAAAATGATGAATACGCGCAGTGGGGGGCGTAGGGGAGATGTGGTTCACGCCCTGGTGCAGCATGTTTGAAAACAGCCAAATTGGAGCTTTTCCCGCGTGTTCGGACCTTCCCTATTGGGCGTTTATCTGCGCGTTTTAACTATACACTCGTTCCCCTTTTTGTCGTTTTTTTTCCCCCCTCTATTTTTGCGTTTTTTTTCCCTCCATGTTTGCATTTTTTTTTTTCAAAGCTGCGACGCCTCTCAAACGACCGCAACGCATGCATGCCACCGCCGCTCACCCCCGCGTACGGATCCGCATGTACGCAGCGCTTCACCGAGTTGCGGTGATTGCGCAGGGGTGTAAATAAAATAAGGCGAGCGAACTCATACAAAGGCTTATGTATGTACATATGCATATGTATACAATATGTGTATACCCACCGTGAGGGCACCCGCGTAAAGACCTTGCCCCTATATTTTGCGCTTTAACGAATTTGCCGCTCGTTTAATTTTCCACAAGCAGGTTTAAATCCCCCCGCTCTGGTCACGTCTCCCTCCCCACCACACCATGTGTTCGCAACACTGTGACACACATGGAATAGCAGCACGCAGGACATTCAATGTGCAGCTTTTTCATTCTCTCCTCCTTCGTATTATAAATTGAACGGGGCCCCCTTCCCTCACATTTTCCACCTCCCAAGCGCAAACCTGAAATGAATGTAAAAACATCAGAAGATGTTTACAATTTTGCGAAAGACTGTTTAAAAATAAAAGAAGAAATAGATAATAGCACAAAGCAGATCCCCAAAAAGGAAAAAAAAAAAAACTCATGTCAATGGAAGAATAATATATCCAAGTACAACTCTGATTATTCAAAGTTTGAAAGATGCCTTAAAGAAATTGAAGAAAATGACGAACTGGAGGAGGAGCAGAAGCAGAAGCAGGAAAACAAACAACACTTGCTAAATAGTAGAAACCCCTGTACGCATGACCATTCCAAGGAAAGACAATTATATGAAAAAGAATCCAAAGAGAAAATAAAAGCCTCGAACACTTTTAATGAAGAAGGGAAGAAAGCGTTTTACGAAAAAAATTACAAACTCGCTTGCGTTTACTTTCGAAAGGGGCTCATACAGTTGGATTATTCCTTCCCCGACTCAGAGGAAGAGCAGTATGAACAGAACAGACTCGAAATTAACTTACATTTGAACTTAGCCATAACGAAGTTTCACATGTCCAACTATCACGAATGCATCAGTGAATGCTCCACGGTATGTGCGCCGTGTGCGTTGGGGCGTGTATGGAGCGTTCATGGAGCGTTTATGAAGCGTTTGTGGAGAATTTTGCCTTTGTGGACCGCATTGCGTTGCGTGGTTCTTCCCGCAAGTCACTTACTACATTTGTCCTTTTCCCCCTTTTTTCCTCCCACCGCGCAGGTTCTCAACCTCGACAAGAACAACGTAAAGGCGCACTACCGAAAGGGACATGCCTACATGAGCCTGCACATGTATAGCGAAGCAAAGGAGGAATTCTTAAAGGCGCTAGAAATGAACCCCACAGATAATGACGTCAAAAGGTCCCTACTGACTTTGAAGAACAAAATGGTCAATTATTCCAAGAAGGAAAAATTAGTGTGCTCTAAGTTTTTCCCTTCCAGTGTAAAGGAAGACAAGAACGAAAACGACAACTTGGCGATGGGGAAAAAGGGACCCAACAATACCAACGCAACGGATCCACCAAATCATGATGGTGATAACATACAAAATTCTGACGCAGGTAAAAGTATACCTATAATGACCGCACAGAATGATCACACGAAAGAATTTCAAAAGAAAAGCGTCACTACTAGCAACATGATACTAAATTGGGGGGAGGAACAGAACCCTTGCGGTTTTGCCAACAGAAGGAAAGAATACATCCCAACTTTTGCATCAAATGGGTCGAATTTTTTTAAAAACTCTTCTCCAATTTTCTTATTAAACAACATATTTTTATATCTCCTGGTTTGTTTTTTTGTTTTTTTTTTTTTACTATTCCTTTTTATGTTTATCTTTACTTCGTGTACAATTTTTTCCACTTTTTTCTTCACCACTTTGTCAATTGTAGCCATCGCGTATTACATATTTGTGTATGTTCACAACACAGCAAAGAATTAAGGTCTCTTTTTTTTTTTTTTTTTTTTGTGTGCACGTGGTTTCTGCCCGGACCTAGTAACGGAGTGGCACTCCTCAGATGTTACTTTTTTCGCAGGGCCCAAGCGTTGATCTACGCAGGTGTGCGTAACGATTGGCAAATATGTGCCCACGTGCAACATCTTTGTGGAGATCTCTGCGTGTTGTTTCTGCCATGTTGTGATGGGCCATTTCACTACCATGGAAAAATCGTGCGTCCGATTCATCACACTTTTATATACACTCTGTATATACCTGGTTGGACGGAAAATTCCCGTTCCTCCACAATTTGGAGAAAAAAAAAATGGGAAAAAGGAACACATTAACTGTATTGCAGAGGCAAAGGTGCACATATACCGTCAGGCTGTTACCTCTTTGCACTACATTTAGGGGTAACCATTTATTTATGATGAAACTTTTATTGAGGCTATATTCAGCACTTTTTCATGATTTAAAAAAAAAAAAAAAA